GATACTGTCAGTGTATCCTACGTTCGTGTTTACAAGGGTAGATTGCATAAAATTCAAAACACTTTTCTGTTCATAGTGCGCACTCTTTCTTTTCTTTTCTTTTTTTTAAGTTAATTAACGTACTATGCGGTCACTAACCATGGTAGGAGTGATCTGAACACTCTGGAATCCAGAGGAGGGTGAAATCTTTGTGGTTGATTATCGCCAGACACAAAATCATGTCACTTTGCCAACAGTTCTACTTCTCGTGTTTTTACGCCGTCTGTTTTTTTATTAAGAGCGTCTCTCTGCTACACGAGCAGCACAGTTTTGTAACTAACTCCAACGCAAACTTGCTCCGTGACTGTTAAAACAANAGCGTCACTCCCAGCAAGCGCTGAGCCAGCTGGTAGAGACAGTGCTGCTTCTGGCCCGCGTAGCACTTCATCCCCGTATTCTGCGCGCCCGCCGCCACCTGAGCCCGGTCCTCGTTCCACCTGGTCAGGCCCTCCAGCAGGAACATCTGGAAGTTGCAGCCGCTGGCTGACGTTCCTGCAGCAGAGAGGAGGAACAGCAGGCGTTGGCAGAACGACCAGAGAGCTGCAGGGGGCTTTCAGTCTGACGGACGCCAGCGACTCACCCGGGATGAACCTGTTGAGATGCAGGTGGAACGACTCAAGCGATGTGGAGCCCCGGGCGCAGCGATAGACGGGGAGGACCACGTCCCCTTTGGTCAGCTCACCGGTCTTGGTGTACAGCTGGACACCGGCTGGATCCTGGATGTGTCAAAACAGAGGTGATGGAGCAGCAGAACCTGGGAAGACGCTGCCGACTGTCGGTCACATAGCACAGACTCACCTGGATGCAGGCCACGTGCTTCCGCTGCCTGGTCCAGATCTCCTCCATGCGGGCCCGGTCCAGGAGGGGGATGTTCATGGTGTCGGTGGCTCCCATGAACGCCTGGATGGCCTCATCCAGGAGGCGTTCCGTCTCCTGCGCCCCACGGGTACGCCTCCGGCAGTGCCGAGCCGTCTCTCTGGCATTCTCTACCGAGCCCCTCCTATACTGCTGTCCCTGCCTGGCTGTACTCAGGAGGGACACGTCCTCCGCGTCCCACTCGAAGATGGCAGCAGAGATGCGCCGCATGAAGGCCGGGTACAGCGGGTGGCTCTCAGCAGTGACCCCAGCCGCGAGCCTGCGGATGAAGTGCCTGATGTCCAGCCGGACCTGGAGCTGTGGCCAAGAGGGGAACAGGGCCGCCACTGCGCCGCCATTGCCGCCCGGCCTGCAGCAGTCCCGGTTCACATAGAGGACCTGCGGTGGGCAGCGCTCGGCCTGCTCGTAGC